ATGTACCTTCATAGTAGATACTTAGGCCTTGAAGGGGTCCCTATATAGGTACTTTAAGGCCTAAGTATCTACGATATGGGTACATGGAGCCTTAGGGCTACATCCCAAAGCCAATCCGAAGCCTGTACGTCCCCAAACCAGCCCTAAATCCTCGAGATTAGAAGTATTATTTAAGTACTATAAGGCTCGCGAGAGCCCCAGAAGTTCTGTCTTCGTGTTCCGTGAGTCCTTGGAGCCTTAAGGAGAAGCTTCAAAGCTCCTGGCACTGAACCCCAAGCACGGCTTAGGGCTTTGGGTTTAGGGTTTAGGGGTTTAGGGTAGGATTTCGGCCGCCAGCAGAAGTGCATACCTGGGGCTGTTTGAAGTGGTAGCAGATGTCTCTGTGTGGGCAGGAACTGCTTCGCCCCTGACCAAACGACCCTAAACCCTAAGGCAGGGCCGAACAGTCAAACCTTCAAGTGCTCAAGCCATAAATCCTTGAATTCAAGCCCTAATCGAGACCCTCCCCCAAGCACCCTCTACCAAACCCGAAATACATCCCTAAGCCCTAAACCCATCTAGATGCATAAAATCATATGATCGACCGAAATACTACATCCCTAAACCCTAAACCCATCTAAATGCGCAAATTATATGATCGACCACCGACTTCCCCTAGGGCTGGGTTCTTCGCTACGGGCTTTAACACCCCCAGACTAAAACCCAACTTGGGTCCAGGCCTTTACAGTGTTTCGGTGTGTGGGGTTGTTGGTTGCAGGGTTTGGGGCAGGCTTGCAAGCCCCAAGCACCAATCAGATCGGACCTCTGCAGTTTAGGCGCTGACCTTCCTAAACCCTAAATCCTTTTAGGGTCTAGGGTTTCGGGTTTAGGTTTTAGGGTTTAGGGTTTCCCTAAACCCTAAGCCCTATAAACCCAAAGCCCTATAAACCCTAAGCGCTAAACCCTCTAAACCCTAAATGTAAACCCTGTAACGTCACCTTGAACCTGAAGGTTAATCCCAAGCCCTACACCCAGCACCGTTTCAACGAGGAACGCTGTACGCCTTTGCAGACTCGCCCAAGCTCCATAGTACGAAACCGAACTCGAATGTGATACATGTCTAAACACCTCCAGAAGGGGCTAGCTACTCAGATTCCTCAACAAATCCCCTTTCCCAGCCTTTTCAAAAACCCCTGCCTGAAAGCCCCCCGTAACCCTGAACCCTCATTGTTTAGGCTTGAGTGTTTAGGGGTTGAGGGTTATGAATGACTAGTTTTCCTTATAAACCCGAAACCCTCCAGGTACCTACTAGGGCCTCTAGTACCCTATATAGTAGGTACCTGGGGTTGAGGGTTTGCTTGGATCCGAAATGGCCGGGGCCCGGCCTGCATGAACAGCTGGTACTAGTTCCTGAGCCCATTGAGCCTGACACCGGCTGTCCGGTTTCGGGTTTAGGGTTTTAGGGTTTAGGGTTTTAGGGTTTAGGGTTTAGGGTTTCCCAAATAACCTACCTTCTAGGGCTCCTTACTATGATTTCCTTATATAATAAGTCCTTCAAATTCAAAAGTAAATCAGTTGGGGTTAGGGTAGGGCTTCGGGAGACGATAATGACTGTCAACCTCTCACTCTGCATACAATTTGGCGTCTAGACTGCCTGGCCTAAACCCTAAACCCTAACC